TATTACTTTTAAAAAGAATAAAATAATATTTACAGCAAACAGACAAATTATATGACAAAGCAATTCAATTAAGTAAATATCCCTTTAGCTATTACCCTACTGAGTATATCTGGAAAGTCATCAAGTACCTAAATTTCCTGCATTATATCCTCCACCGCCATTGTTACCGTGGAAACCAAAACCTTGACCACCGCCCTGGTTATTATTATTATTATAACCATTATTCTGAGTGTTGTACTGATCAGGATAGATCGGTGTACCCTCGTATCTCACATCTGCATGAAAACCTGTTCTCCAATCAGCAGTGTAAGTCACTATTTGTGTCCTCCCATCCGGTAATTGAACTCTGTATTCTCCTCTTACAGTTTCCCCATCGCTGCTCTCGCGTCTGCCAAAGTCATTTCCGGTTGCTTGATCCTTCACAGCATACCCAAACTCGTAGGACATTGGCTGAAACAATTTGTATTTTCTGTACGAGGATAAAAATGGTATGGAATCTTTAGGACATATGTCATAACTGAAGTATTTCAAATAAAGAAATTATCAGTTACAGATTACAGGTGCTAAAAATTTCTGTCTTTGAACGTAACATCTATTACATAAAAGATGCTCTTTTCCTAACTTTTTACCATCAATGTTTGATACTTCATTTTTCAAACATTCTCTATAAAAATTATTTTTTTACAAACATATACATAGGTACAAGAATGAAATTCGATATTGAAAATTTTGTTTCTTATTGTTAATTGGAAAATTCAACTTTAGAGCAATTTTTGATTAATAGATATACCTTGATGATTAAAGTAACTCATAAACAATAGAGAAATTATAGTCTGTAATCTCTATTGTGCACACACGAGACTTATTTGCATGTATGGCGCCGATTCTGTAGTCAGACTTTCTATTAAAGTGACTTCTTAGGTCGCCGCTTTGTATATTTTCCTAACCTAGTTCAATGATTTCATTATTGGACTATTGTCTTCCATATGTTACTTGACAAAGACGCCATTAGAATGGTTGGTATTGCCTTTTAATCTTTCTTTTGTATAATTGTTTTTCTTTAAGTGACAAATACTTTCAATTTTTTCTTACGTAATATTGCTTTTATCCAATTTCATCATCATTTCCCTTTTGATTTTCTAGATAATTTTTACGATTGATACAAATCGTTTACATTCCTCTAAGTGAGTGTAACATGTGAAGAGGATATTAGAAAGTGCCACACTTCAACTGGCTTACTAACTAATTGTGTTATTTTATCTTCGAGTTGCTATTATTATCCCAGTGCTGTAATCTAATTGCTTACAAATTTTTATTCATTTTGGAATATTATTGAATGTGTGAGTATATAATTATATTCATCATTTCAACGTTTATTATCCTATATTACTCTTCTAAATTACTACCACTCTCTTTGTTGAACCAATGATTAATTTCAAAGTTCTAACCACAGATATAGCCATGATTCATGATTATTCAACAAGTCAAAGTGTTAATGATTATTCACTCAACAATTATCAAACTATCTTTGTGCTATATTTAGTCTCCATAAGGGGGGAAAAAATCTTCGAATTACGTGGCTGAACTTTCTTCCAGAGAAAAAGTGGAGCAGACGAGGTGACCGAAGAAGAACGAGAAAAAGAAAAAGACTACTCTGATTTAATCTGGCTCGCGCCAGATCGTTCGACCCCGGGGCTAAAACCACATAACCGGACCGTTTAGATTCTCAAGACGATTAGCTAATCGGCAGTAACGATTTGCCGTGGATGATGCCTGTGGTGGTCGCGGTTCATCGTATTAATATTGTTACGTCAGACAGAGTTTACGTCATTCTACATAACCGGATGAACGTGCAACGTTTCACGATGAAAGAGCAAGATTCCGGTGCCCAGACGCCGTTTCCGGAACTTGGAACTATGTCACGGACGCAATAGGTTTTATTCTGTTTCTTCTTTGATAAATTCAGTTTTATTAGACGTTGACGATGAAGATATATTATTTTATAATATTTGATATTTAGTTTAAATTAATATTTATTCTTTAATTTAATTTATATATTGTCCTAGATTGGATTATGCCTGTAATGGAACGTTTATTTTATACAATATTCCTCTGTGATATCTACACTACAAAAATTTGTATTTCTTCACACAATTTTATTCAATGTTCTTTCGAATATATCGTCTTCTTGGTGAGAGATTTGTTTCAATGTTTTCAACCAATCCGAATGCATTTGTTCTGCATTCTCGCTAACGCTCGTTCTCCATTAGAGCCCAAGAAAGTTATGCCAACATTCCTGATTTCATACATGATAAACTCGTTTACCCATCGAGTGCGTAGAGCAACCATTCCAACGGCCACGTGCTGCTCATCTTATGATCATCTAGAAGGATAGAGCTACCTCAGTACTTATGTACCATGGATCATCTTTTCCTCCATCTCTGAAGCATCAATCTCACGTTATAAGACGCATTCTGACGTTGTAGATGTTTATAGGTAATGTTATACTCCTCTAAATCTTCAGACAAGGAATTTGAAATCGAAAAAAATGTACCTAATCTATTTCGATATTCTTTTTGACAACCAAGAGAAAATAGATTTTTGAGGATGAATCTTAAACTGAAGTTTGTACAAAAGCTTGAAATTTCAAGGCTTTAGATTTACTTATAAATAAGTGTTGTTGAAAATAAAATTCTTTGAATGTTTCTGAATCAGAAAGTTTGCAATTTCTGCAACAATTTGAAATATCAATGCTTTAAAGTTATACATTCGTTAAATCAACACAGCCATGTTGGTTGCCTAAATAAGCTCTCTAATATGGAAAATTCAATTTCTACTGAATTAACCAAGGAATTAACATACTAAATAAGATTACCAATTTGTTCGTGCTAAGAATAGGTGAAAAATGGCATGTATATTGAAGAATTGAGGGTTATATCCTTTCAAAGGAAGACAATTTTTTGATGAAATCATTAAAAACATTCGCCATTGGCTTGGCAACATTGTAGTTGCACGTGTTAACGTAATTTCATTGGTGTTGCAGCGACTCAAGGAGTGGTTATTGTTCTCTGTCGCAACAAAGCTGAACAACATAAATTCCCTTAATGGTGGTACGAAACGAGTGGTTAATTCACCGCCTGTGATCTCCCTCAAACAATTCTATAATAATTCTTCACCTGTTACAGTTAAAACAAATGATTTTCATGGGAAATTAATAAATAGGTAAACGACAAAATTGAGAATAAAAATTACAATGAGAGAACATAAATATATAAATCTTGTGCCTAAATTTTTAAGAATAGACATCTGTATTATAAAATAACAGTCTTGCGAATTTTAATTAATAATTCTAATAGGTTTGATCTTTCAGAATAACATGTTACGATAGAAGGCAGTAAAGACAAAGGGAAGAGATGCTGTTTAGTTAAAAATAAAGAGTAAAATCGATGACCGATCGATCCATTCTAGATTTACGTAACCAGATCGTGCATTCAGTGCTCGACAAAGTTCAATGTTACTTGTAGAATCAGCGTTAACCCAGATCTATTCATCTCTTGGAACCCTTACCTCTACTACGAAACACTGTGGCAGAAATGCAGGATGAATGAATTAATAGGCAGCACAATTTGATGACTTAAATCATTCGAGGCTAGATTTTTTTTTGTATTGTAAATTAATTAGTAATTAATATCTTATTAAAAAATAGACTCTATTCTTTAACTTTCTTACTAT